ACCGCTCAACAATATTTGTATATTTGTCACTGGCATTTGTCATCAAGTGGCAAATCAGATATTTGGTCATTTGCGTAATTTTTATTTGGCTTATGTAGCAGCATTGCGTTCACACGATTTGGCCACCAGGGTTGTTTTTCATTTGCCACAAGAAGGCAAATATTTGGCTTTTCTGATAAATGACAAATGTAATTTAGCGTTCACATGATTTGTCTATGAATTTGACAAATTTTTAGCCAAATGTACAAATCGTGTGATCCTAGCTTTAGAGAATGAAAATAAGTTTTAATTTTTTAGTGTATTTCAATTAAAAAAAAAAAAATAGATTTGTGTACTCTGTCTGATTGAACCCAATAAACCGGCCAACTGAAAAAGCAATTGCACTGGTCGGCCCAAACCGACAAAGATGTAGTGCCAAATAAGTAGATAAATATATCTACTATGTATGTATGTACTTATATACCTACGTACGTATATGATATGGAGGTATGCAATGCGACCAAGAGGTCTAGAAAAATTTTAAGAGAGCTCCAGGGATTAGCGATTGAATGAGTTCAACACTTGGACAGAGTTGGCATATGTGCCTTTTCTGTCTTCTTGCAACCGCCTCACACTCGCGAAGCACACTCACAGAAGCGATATAGGTCGTACGACCATCAGCCGAATTCCAAGATTCGCTATCGCTAATTTTGGATCTCCAAAAGAATAGTAGGGAACATCTAATTACATGCCCCTCATACCGCCAGATTTGGCTGATTATAGATTCCATCTGTTACTTTTCCATGATGTATACTTTTAGGCCCAACTGTTTTTTTATTTAGAGAATTTTGCAGCGAAAATTTGGCATAGCCATTGTCAGAGTGCCAATGCAGATCCGTAGCTTATGAAGGTGACCTCTAAGTCTGCAGTGATCCGTCAGAATTCCTGTTATTATCCTTAACCTTGTAGGGTTGCAGCCTTCTCATAGATATTTTGCCTGCCGTAGATCTACGGTGTTATGCCAGTGTTGCTCTCTGAGGTTGTTCCTCTTCTTCGTGATCTATTTCTTGATTATGCTAGGTCCGATCGCAAGGAAAGGCTCAGGCCCTATTGAAGATAGACGGCCACTGTTCTAGCTAGACGGTCTACTTCCTCGTTACCCTCAACTCATATGTTTCTGGTACCTAAATTAACTGGATGACATTGTACTCCGCCAGGGCGTTGAGCTTATTAATGCACTCAAGGATCAACGAGGATTTGATCACCAAAGATGAAAGGGCCTTGAGTATAGCCTGGCTATCGCTCCCTACGGTGGTCTCTGCATACAGACGAATGGCATAAACCGTCGTCTGAAAGAAGCTCGGGTATGCTCCCATGAGCACAGAGAGCTTTAGCCTTTCCTCTAAACGAGGTGCTCCAAGTTGACTTCCTGCAAAGCTCTATCTGAAATTTCCTGCCGAGGGGCGACTGCTGTTAAGAAACAATATTTTTCTAAATTTTTTTTCTGTGATGTCGCTTTGACCAGGTATCGAACCCTATCCCTACGGAGTGTTCTACGTACTTCTAACCACTCGGCTACAGCGGCTGCAATAAATACAAATTATATTAAAAATAGTCTTCTGGTTGAGAGGTAAGAATTTGGAAACATTTGAAAATAATACAATCAACAATTGACTTCTTCTAAAAGCCGTTATATTGAATATCGAGAGAGCGCATAAAAAGATGAAATCAGATAAACAATGTGTGGTGGCATACTAATGTATATACAGTATCGGTTATATCTATAGCACGCCATTTCAAAGTGATATTGTGTGCAACTTATGTTTATTTATTTATTTTTGAGAATTTTCAATTAAAATACAGTTCTTTCTCTAACAAACCCCATATAAACCCAAGTTTAAAAATTTGTAGAAAACTTCAAAAAAGTGTAACAAATTTTCACCAAAATTTCAAACTTTTTTATCGGAAGTGTTTGAATTTTTCTGAAAACACAGTTTTATAGCCCAATCAATTTTAGTCTGATAATGTGCAAGTTCCAAGTGACTAAAAGTTACCGTTGATTTTTTAGAATTTTTTTCACCAAAGCTGTTGCGGTTTTTATCCATATACAAATAAATTGAGTTTATTCATTATATGAAAGCCAATGCGACAAAAAAAATTCTAAAAAATTAACGGTAATTCGTAGCGTAATTTGCACATTATCAGACTAAAATTGCAGTGGCTAAAAAACTGTGTACTCGAAAAAATTCTAACACTTCCGAGAAAAAAGTTTGAAACTTAGGTGAAAATTTGTTACAATTTTTTGAAGTTTTCTACAAATTGTTAAACTTGGGTTTATATGGGGTTTGTTAGAGAAAGAAATGTATTTTAATTGAAAATTCTTAAAAATAAATAAATAAGCATAAGTGGCACACAATATCACTTTGAAATGGCGTGCTATATATATGACCGATACTGTACATACATACATACATGTTTGTATGAAGTATATATGCTCCGCAAACATTGAGGTTATTTAACGATTAGAGAATGATTGGAGAACTAGCCACATTCTCCAATCTCAAACGTTGGAGAACGACTCGAAAAACTGTCGATAATCATAGCGATCACAACCAAAAATGAGATTTAGTTCTCGACTCGAGAAAATATTAATTCTCTAATCGAGTTCTAGTGTTGATCTCTAATGGGATTCGCATGTGAATTTCAAACTGCTGTTTTGCTTTATTAAATAAAACGCTTTGTCTGTAAAATTTTTATTATATAAATTTGCAATAAAATAATAATGAATTATTTTAACTTAAAGTAATTTATGATTCATTCATTTGAAATATTGCTTATTTACATTTATTTGAATTTGCGTTGCTTCTCTAAACGCTCTCGAATCGTATTCTAATGTAGTTATCTAACTACGCCATCACTAGTTATCTAAAGTAGAAATCCAAATTTCTCTAACGTTAGAGGCTGTGTTTGCTGCGTAGCTAATATTAACATATGATCCAAATCTGATTAATCGCAGAAAGGAATGCGGTGTGCGAACTCGCAAAGCAATACTTAAGGGTGTTTTAACCGTTAAAAACATTTTAGAAACGAAAACCTAGCGAATAGTTGTACGACTGTCAAAGTGACAGCGTCGTTTGGAAAATCAATAGCAAAACCTAAAAACACAAAAGTTGCGAGCGAGCAAACTCACCACCGGATGTGAGCGACTCCAAGCAGAGATACACAAAGGACTCAAATTACACGTTTACTACGCTTTTTAGCTGTGAGAAGTAAACACTTGATGTATACAGTCATCGGAGAAGTTGCCAGTCAGTCGCGTTATGCATATTTATGCATACATACTTTACGCTGCACTATTTGACAAAGCACAATACAAATTTCGCATTGGAAAATTGCATTTTTGCAAATCATAAAAGTATTACAGTGTTAACAGATAAAAATTCGCCAACATATAAAAAAGTTCAAAACCTCGAAATAAGTGGCAGAATTGTTTTGAAAAACAAAAAAAAGTTTGATTGAACCAGTTGGTACTGCATTGAAGGTAAATGTGGATGGGGAGGTGCACTTCGATTTTTCACCAGAGCAAATCAGTATGTGCGATAATTATCCTATGTATAATTACTAGTGTCTTCTTATTTTTCAAGCGATTCAAAACTCATCCACTTTGTGGCTAACAAAATCAANGCATACATTTTTTACGCTGCACTATTTGACAAAGCACAATACAAATTTCGCATTGGAAAATTGCATTTTTGCAAATCATTAAAGTATTACAGTGTTAACAGATAAAAATTCGCCAACATATAAAAAAGTTCAAAACCTCGAAATAACTGGCAGAATTGTTTTGAAAAAAAAAAAAAAGTTTGATTGAACCAGTTGGTACTGCATTGAAGGTAAATGTGGATGGGGAGGTGCACTTCGATTTTTCACCCGAGCAAATCAGTATGTGCGATATAATTACTAGTGTCTTCCTATTTTTCAAGCGATTCAAAACTCATCCACTTTGTGGCTAACAAAATCAACGGAGAAAGTCGTCCTTATTTTCATCATCTAACTGTGTAATTCCTAGCAGACTTACCAACGTGTGGCCTTTCGGAAAGCAATTCGCCTATGCGCATCCAATACCCATAACATGCGCACCCTGGCTGATGAAACCAGGAAATTAAAGTTGAATAACAACAACAATAACGCAGTTTACCAAAAAACCACTGTAACATTAGTAGCACAGTCAAAAAATTCAAATAAGATCGCCAAGATGCAACAGCAAGGCAACGTTGCGACCGCTGCCACATCGACGGCTGTTCAGCAAAAGCAGCAGCACCAACAGCAACAACAACACAAACAACTGCAGAATAATAACTCTACAACAATAACCTTGCCGAAGGCTTCGCATGCAAACACAAATGAAGAGATCGCCGGCGGTGTGCAGGACACCATTTACCTTTGCAATTTTCGCGTCTCCGTCGACGGCGATTGGTTATGTCTGAAGGAGCTACAAGATCTTGACATTGGGCAGCAGCATAGCGGTGGGAGTGGCACTACAACGGGCTGTGGTCTACAGCGTGGCGCACAGCTGGGCAAAAAGAACAAACGCTATTCGGGAATGTCGAATGGACTGGATGATAATGGTATATTGACAGTCCGTAGCTTGCTGGGCCGTCGTTTTAACGACGCACCCGAACATGTGTACAAGACGAACAGTTTGTCGTCGTCGCACTTGCTTACCGCACGACATGCACATGCAGATAATGGCTTGATTGGTGTGTTTGGTGTTGGTGGTACTGGTGAATGGTCCAATCACCGTAGGTTGCTTGTTTAACTAATTTCTTTCTATTGACATATTTTCACACATACACATGTACATACATGTAAATAGTAGAGTCATACATAGTTTTCTTTTCGTAAATCAGTTTTTTTATCTTTTGTGTTAATTTTTTAAGAACTCTTTTAAGACTAAAGACTGTGCAAGTCCTTTTTAAAAGTCTGTCAAATTCACGAAATTCCAAAAGTGATTTCAAGAGCAGTTACACCTTCCATGTAAAGTGACTTTCGAAAGCAGTTTTTATTTCCGAAGGTCAAACTTTCCGGCACTACTATTTGTCATTTACACAGTGAATGTAGTAGGTTCTACTTTCACATGTGTTAGCAGACATTTTATGCTTATAACAATATTACTGACCTGAAATGTTCGTTAAAAATGCTAAAATACGCACAAAAGAACCACAAACTGTCTCATATTTTAATATTAAAATTGTTCATATCAGGAGAATACATAAATTTCCAGTATTTTTTTTTTAAATGTGAGCCAACATTTTTAAAATCTTATANCTGTAACATTAGTAGCACAGTCAAAAAATTCAAATAAGATCGCCAAGATGCAACAGCAAGGCAACGTTGCGACCGCTGCCACATCGACGGCTGTTCAGCAAANGTGTAACAGTAGCACAGTCAAAAAATTCAAATAAGATCGCCAAGATGCAACAGCAAGGCAACGTTGCGACCGCTGCCACATCGACGGCTGTTCAGCAAAAGCAGCAGCACCAACAGCAACAACAACACAAACAACTGCAGAATAATAACTCTACAACAATAACCTTGCCGAAGGCTTCGCATGCAAACACAAATGAAGAGATCGCCGGCGGTGTGCAGGACACCATTTACCTTTGCAATTTTCGCGTCTCCGTCGACGGCGATTGGTTATGTCTGAAGGAGCTACAAGATCTTGACATTGGGCAGCAGCATAGCGGTGGGAGTGGCACTACAACGGGCTGTGGTCTACAGCGTGGCGCACAGCTGGGCAAAAAGAACAAACGCTATTCGGGAATGTCGAATGGACTGGATGATAATGGTATATTGACAGTCCGTAGCTTGCTGGGCCGTCGTTTTAACGACGCACCCGAACATGTGTACAAGACGAATAGTTTGTCGTCGTCGCACTTGCTTACCGCACGACATGCACATGCAGATAATGGCTTGATTGGTGTGTTTGGTGTTGGTGGTACTGGTGAATGGTCCAATCACCGTAGGTTGCTTGTTTAACTAATTTCTTTCTATTGACATATTTTCACACATACACATGTACATACATGTAAATAGTAGAGTCATACATAGTTTTCTTTTCGTAAATCAGTTTTTTTATCTTTTGTGTTAATTTTTTAAGAACTCTTTTAAGACTAAAGACTGTGCAAGTCCTTTTTAAAAGTCTGTCAAATTCACGAAATTCCAAAAGTGATTTCAAGAGCAGTTACACCTTCCATGTAAAGTGACTTTCGAAAGCAGTTTTTATTTCCGAAGGTCAAACTTTCCGGCACTACTATTTGTCATTTACACAGTGAATGTAGTAGGTTCTACTTTCACATGTGTTAGCAGACATTTTATGCTTATAACAATATTACTGACCTGAAATGTTCGTTAAAAATGCTAAAATACGCACAAAAGAACCACAAACTGTCTCATATTTTAATATTAAAATTGTTCATATCAGGAGAATACATAAATTTCCAGTATTTTTTTTTTAAATGTGAGCCAACATTTTTAAAATCTTATACCAATTCGCCAAAATTCGTAACACACGGCAACACTGGATTGGTTTGACAACACTTGCAGCAATAATGAAAATTGCTCGTGGAGCACGAGCAAGTTGAAATAATTTCTCGAAAGCGATTTGCGTAATTTCAGTTGCAGTTACACCTTGCAAATTTTATTTCCGAACGTGATTTCTGCAAATCTGCAAAACGGGTATTTACACGTGAAAGTAGACTTTCCCTTTCGCATTTTGACAGCAAAATGTTAAGAAAAAGCGCTTGCATTGCCACGCTTAACCGCACCTTATTTCTTGAAAGCTAAAAAATAGTAGCACGCTCTTCTGCACATTGAGCTACTGCCAGAATACGTATAGTAGATAAATTTTCTCAAATTTTCAGTTTGAATAAATATTCTAAGATTAATGAGGCAACTCTAAAGTTAGTTGCAGCATTTGTGACTGATATTCCATTGAAAATTATGTCAAAAAGCTGCAACGAATTTTAGAGTCGACTTTATTTTGCCTATGCATATGCCCCATTATTTTCAAATTGTCGGTGAAATGTACGTTTCTCTGCTGACTGGGTACACATATAAGTATGTATGTACATATGAATTGACTCACACCCAGCAAGAAAATCTACTAACTTTGCAATGGATACCTTTTTATTTGACGCCGATGCTGCGAGCGAATTCCGTTTTTTGGATTTTAACATCCTTGCAGAAAATGTGCGATATATGGATGTATGTATGGATGTATGCATGTTTCCGTATTGTTGTTTTTATGTTTTTGTTACTTCCAGATATGTATTTGAATGTAAGGGTGGCGCTAAAATTATGCAAAGCACTTTACACATGTATGTCATGGAGCAAAGTTTCTAACAAATTTAAAGCAGCTCCACATTCAAATATCTGGAAGTAACAAAACAATAAAAACAACAATGCGCAAACGTGCATACATCCATACATACATACATATATCGAACATTTGCCGCAAGGATGCTAAAATACAAAACACAAAATTGAGTTAAGTATGCAAAAATAGCAGCTACCTGTTCTTCTATTTGGTGAGAAAATTTAATAGCTGTATCGATCATGTTTACTATGTGGGTACACGTACTTTCCGTTTAAGCCATACTCGAGTTAAGACGAGCCATATAAAAAAAATGCACGTACTTTTCGTCGCTTAAAGAGAACTCACGGTTAATACGAACTAAGTTTATATACAAAATCGATGTTTCACTTGTTGTTCAACCAAGGTGCCATTGCTTTTGCTGTTCAACTATGGGTACCGTGACTGAGCATTCTTTTACCGGAGCATCATTATAGCGTACAGCATGCCCAAGCCATCGCAAGCGCTGAATTTCTCTATGTGCGTGTCATTGTACAATTCGCCATTCCATCTTATTAGATATCCATCGCCCACACGAATTCGGCCATTGATCTTGCGTAGAATTATTCTACCAAAAGCCCTCAAAGCCTTCTCATCTTTTCTCGGCATCGCCGGTGTTTTTGTTCCATTTAAAAGAACAGCAATGTTAAGGGACTGTAGATTGTTGTCCGTTAAGAAAGAGCCCTGCTTTTCAATTACCTATAACTGCCAAAACTGTCAACAGTAACGTGTCCGAATAAGCGAAGACTCTTTGTATGTTGCTAGGAGCTACTCTGTCTTATGGTTTGACTATGGCAATTTAACGTAACTTACAGGCTCTCACTTAAACTTCTCTTTAATGGATGTTGCTTATAACTGAACAACCGAAACTCAACGTAACTTAATGCCTCGTCGAAAACTGTTCTACGTTACGTTAAGTTAAGTTGCCATAATCAGGCTTTTACTCTCATTCACCGCTAATTGGTTGTTAAAGAAGCGTAGTATGGTTGTAAAGCTTTTCATAACTAATTAAGTTACTTGCGAGTATTCGGATTTAAATAAATTAAGTATTTGGTTAAATTTTTTATTATAGCAGGACGACAGCTATTATCCTTGATGGCTTACATGTTACGAATTGATTTCTTATACTTCTTCTCCAGCATACATACATAAGTACATTAATAAGTATTAAGATTTTTATAATCACTCAAGTTTTTCCTGCAGGGCATGTGTCGGTTTTATATTGCGTGGATGACTACGAGCCAGAGTACTGTATGAGGATGTGCTGATGTCGTCCCAGTAGAAATTTTATGCATACGACATCGCTGTTGGTGGCATGAGCTTGCTGCTGTGTATACATGCCAGTATAAATGAACCCTCATTTCCATATAACACGCGTGGTTTCTCAGAGCGTATACGTACTCTCACCATACACTTGTACTACTGCTGTATGCATATGGCTGTATTAATGTTTCAAACATACAAAAATGCATTAATGGAACAGTATTAAAGCATTCTTACAAGATATGTATCCCCATATGTAAATGCTACTTTTATGATACATTTTATTATACGGGGACATACAAAAAAAGTAGCATTTACATATGCAAATGCATATCTTGTAAAAGCTCGTTTTTTGCTGAAAATAGTATCGCACAACACGTCCGTTCACTAAAATTTTTGTACAAGACTGAAAATATTACAAAAATTCCACTTCAAATTTATCAAGAAATGTACTTAAAACAACGAGAACGTACATTCGCTTGCAATTCGCTAGATTTTGAATTTATTCGTGGAAATTCATGACTCCGCATGAATTGTTTACACTAATTCACTGATATAGCAAGCATTCTTCATGAATGCATACAACCGATTTCTACTGTGCATATATGTATGTATGTATGTGTCTGTTCTTAACAATCCTGCAAACCGGTTTTGAAACAATCCGGTTTTTGAACTGAACCGTCGCTTTTTTCGGGCTTCGAACCGAACCGTTTTTATTTGGAAATGCCAAACCCGAACCGAAAACCACCCCTGAAAATGGTTCGGTTCGGTTAAAGATAAAACTGCAAAATTTGTTAGATAAAACTGCAAAATTTGTTTTCTTTGATGACAACTACGTGAGTTGTAATTTCGCCCCTATAAAGAATGATTGAAATGTTTTTATATGGAACGAAGTACTTAACAACGCCAGCAAAAAAACCAAAAATCAACGCGAATTTTAAAATAATTCAAACCTGCACAACACATTACACTAAAATTTAATGGGCTATAAAATTGAATAAATACTTCGATTTTCTTAGTTCTGAATAACAAATTTTATACATTGATGCAAATTTTCGTACAAACTTTTAAATTTGGATTTATATGGTTGTCGTTATATAACGAGCTATACTTTTATAAAAAATTAATGCACATTAAACCAACAAAAGAAAATTAGTCAAATGTCGCACTGTGCCTAGTTCAAGCTCCAACCTACCGAAAATGAGGGTTTCAACATTAAGCCAACATTTTGAGTGTCAATTCAAAATTCTGAGTATGCTGTTTTCGTCTACTCGACTAGGCACACGGCTTGTCCAAACCTTAAAAGAGTTTATGCAATTTTTTATAATTTCCCCTTGATTGCGTTGATTTTAAATATTTTTTTTTTTGTTAGGGTATTACGCATTTTCTTCCATACAAAAAAATCCCACATACGTTGCGCGGAAGAAAATACGTGAAAAATTGCCAAAAATCAATTTAAAACATAAAAATTATTATTAAAAATTTGCAATTTAGATGAAACTTTGCAGAATTTTCATAATTTTTGCACAAGGTATGAAACTTGGATTTATATGGTTAAAAACAAAAATAAACATAAAATAAACAAAAGAAAAATCCTAAACTTCCTAAAATGTCGCTCCCCTATTTTTTTCCACCACTATACATGTACATTAGACTGCATCACTCCCCATACAAAAAAAAATTGGTACTATTTTTCCGCCGGGATTACAAAATTTATTATATTTTAAGACGTCCACCAAAATATTTCGGAAAAATATTAAGATTTAAGTGAGCTGGACCGATTTGAAAATACCTCCAAAAATGGAGTTTTTTTTTATGAATAAAAATAGTTTCTTAAAGATTTTTTTTGAAAAGATCCCCTCAAATGAAAAAAACGGTTTAAGCTTAAAATATTTGCATAAAAATATTTAAAAAAAATTAAAAAAAAATTTTAACGGAATCGTAGTGATGAGATTTTTGATGCTGTTTTTTAACTTTTCAAAGATTGGTATAAGAAAAACTTGAATAACTGAACCTAAACTCTTCCGATTTGGACTTGAGAGGTGTCATTGGAAAGCTATTTTCTCACCCTTTTTATTTTTTTGTGAATAAACTCATTCAAACGATGGAAGAGAAAGGTAGGAGGAACGAACGTCATTTAAAGTTGAATTAAGATGTGTTGGTACTCGAAGAAAAAAGATGACAAATGACGTTTTTTGGCCAGAAATAAAAACAGTGTGAAAATACCTTTCTACTGAGATCCCATAAGTCTAAATCAGAACATTTTTGGCCCAGTTATTCAAGTTTTTCGTAAAACAATCTTTAAAAAAGTAAATAAACAGCATCAAACATCTCATTCTTACGATTCCGTTGAAAATATTTTTAAATATTTTTATGCAGATTTTTTAAGCTTAATCTAATTTGTCATCTGAGGGGACTTTTTTCAAAAAGTTCTTTATGAAACTATTTTATTCATAAAATACTTAATTTTTGGAGGTATTTTCAAATCGGTCCAGCTCACTTAAATCCTAATATTTTTACGAACTATTTGGGTGGACGTCTTAAAATATTATAAATTTGGTAATCCCGGCGGAAAAACCGCAACTTTTTTTGGTGATGCAGTCTAATGTACATATTTGAATTTGATCTAAATTGCAAAGCCTTTTATTTAGATATTATAGATTTGTAATATTTTTTGCAATATTCGTATCCTTTAGCAAAAAAGAAAAAAAATTGAAGCTTTTGCATTCATGCATCGGTTCTTGTACCGGTTCAAGTTTCTTCTTAGTAGTTCGAACCACTGAACCGAAGCGCACCGATTTTTGGAGTGGTTTGCAGCCCTGGTTCTTAAGCATTCTTATAAACACGGTTGCCAACTTTTGCATTCTTGAAACCGGGACACACAATGTTAGGAAAGGAGGATAGGTAAAATAACATATGTTAGGAAATAGGTTAATTTTGAAAATTTGTTATTTAGAACCACAAAACCATATGAGTAAAAAAATGGAAAAATATGGTTACACAAACGAAATACATGGGAAAAAAATTACCGATCACCGAGTTACCGAGTACCAAGCTTCGGTGTGAAGACCCATAATATCTACGATGTATGCAACCTGCCCATGTATCGGTGTGTAGCAGGACGTCTGCCCGGGCTTACTAGTATTTATGTATAAACTTAGCTTATAATCAAGCAGACAGTTGAAATCTGTAAATAGAAACATTGAGAGTTTAATAGTGGTTTTTGGTAGTGTTGGGCAGTATCGATACCAAAAGTACTCAGAACTCGATTCCAAAGCACTCAGTACTCACAAAAGAACTCGAAAGTACTCAGCACTCAAAGAAGGAACTTGAAAGTGCTCACTACTCTAAAATACTTTGTTACAATAATCGCTCTGATACATGTACTCCAGATCGATACAGAGTACTTAATATTAAGTGTCGAATAGACTTAAATAGTATTGATTTTTATTTATATTTAACGGTATTCAGAAATTATTGTACTCAATATGCAGTTTCGATAATTTTCAAGTGCAATACTTATGCCCAGTAAAGTTCATTTGACATAATTTGGGGTCCATATATTAATTTGAATAAAATACTGCCAGCTTGTGAGATTTCTACAATCAGTATTGAAATGTTACCAACATGTGTATATTCAAAGAAAGTACTCAGTACTCAGGAAAATACCCGATCCTTAAAAGTATCAATACCAAAGAACTCGATCCTCAAAAGTACCCGATACTTCCCAACACTAGTTTTAGGTGGGTTTAAGCCTTAAACTTTAAGTTGATTGTCACCCGGGGAAAAACCAGTTAGCATATTTGCCATTTTGATTTCACAACTCGTACAACGTAGCGCAATTTGGCGGCTGAATTTCAGTACGTCATGCAGAACTGCCGTTAATCCTGTACGATCCTGTACGGTTCCACTTCTGCTTGAACTTCAAGAGATAAATTTCCATAATTTTCGCAAGAGACAGATTCAGTGTACCTTGCTAGTTCGCCGCTGCCTCGTTTCCGTAATTGTCTCTATGTTCCGGGACCCATATTAGGGTAATTTCGTATTGATCAGAGATATTTATAGGGCAACTCTCTCCTACAGTCCTTCACTAGTTGAGATCTAACAGATGTAGAAGAGAGTGCCTCAATGGCCGCTTGGCTATCCGAGAAGATAATCAGATGAATATTTGGGAAAAAATTATAGGTGTTTTTTTATTGTTAAAAGATTTCGCAATAAATTTAAATGGTTTTAAATGAAACAAAGCAGAACTATCCAAAAAGCACATGCATTTATTGTAAAGTACACTAAAATAAGCGCAATAAATATGCAAAAACGTATTTTTTGCAAAATATGCAAAAATATGCAATAACGATTGAATGCCATTTTAAAAGAAATTTTTTGATTCGAAAAGATAACTACCCAGCCAGCAGAGAAACGTACTTTTTGCCGAAAGTGCAGTTTTCGTACATTTTTCGTTTCCGGAAATGTTCAGAAAACGATTTACATATTGTTCATTTTTTGCATTCGAAAAATTTCATCATCTTATTTCAAAACCATAATTTTAAAATATTTGTTCAAACTGAGCATTTGAAAACATGTATATCGAGCCCTAACCGCCAAAATAACGTAAGCGAGATTTTTTATTTTTAATGCAGAAATATTCCTAGAGCATCTAGATACATTTCTGCATCAAAAAGAAAATTAAAAAAAAAATTTCGCTTACGTTATTTTGGCGGTTAGGGCTCAATATGTATTCGGCAGTAGCTGAGTGTGCAAAGAAGTGTGCTACTATTTGTTAGCTTTCAGGAGGTCCCAGATTCGAATTCCGTCAGAAGCAATACATTAAAATTAGTTATTCAAATTGAAATAATTGCTGAATCTTAAATTTTTTATTTTTTTTTTGGTTTCCTGTATTTATGAAAAAGTTTCTGTGAAGTTCATAATGAAATCGTTTTCAACGAAAAATTGAATCAGACAAATTTCAGGAAAACAGCCGAAAACGCATACGTTTTATAACCATTTTCGATAGTTTTCTGCACATACGTTTCGGATGAACACTTTAGTGGGAGAATTGATCTGAAAAACGTCCGAAAACGGATGAAACATCAGGTATTTTGCTGGCTGGGTAACCATGCCAAAAAGAAACAAGCATTTGCATGAGATTCCGAGCCCTAGTCAGCCTTTCGATTATCAGCATTACAAAGAGTAAAAAGGCCGGAGCCAATCACCATAAGACAAAAGTGTGATGCTAGGAGAGCTTTAAAATACAAATGCAGCTCATTGACGGATGCTATGTGTATATAAAGGCATCAAGATAAACTTTTATGAAAACAGGATTGATATTATATAATGCAATAAATACCTCGTTGAGTCCTTCTTGCCGTGAAGGTGTTTCCGAAGAAATCAGCTAGACTTTAGCTGTCTTGGCCATACCCTTTGCACTATGTCTTCAGACATAAATTTTCCAACGCTGTACAATCGCACACTAAGGGCCGTTTCTGAAGTAACCTTTAATTTTAAAGCTCATTTTATATTTAAAGGTTGGATTAAAAATAATGCTATATAGGCATTTATATTATCGTTTTTTGAGGTATGTATGTTTCTTGGTTGTAAACCAATTTAAAACCGATAATAAAATGGTTTGCATGGGACACTATCATAAATTTTAATGCAACCTTTCAATATAAAGTGAGCTTTAAAGTTATAGGTTACTTGAGAAAACGGCCCTAAGAGCTCTATCGTTTCTACATCCATTACGCACTTTGAAGGCACGGTTAGCTAACAATTTGACATCAAGCGACCTAAGCATGGCTCTGGATACTTTGTATTCACGTTGTTGTGATCACATTTTACCCACTTCTTGGATCATACCTAAATCACATTCCTTTTTAGAGCCTGCAGGTGATTGAAATTTCTACGATGGGTGTGTTGTTCAATAGCACTCCTTCCTTTGCTAGAGCATCCACCCCTTTACGTTTCCTTCTATGCTTAGGTACCCATAACAAATGAATTTTTGAATTTTACTTGTTGACCGTTAGATTTTTAATTAATTTTTGCATTCTATCAATTCAGCAATAACCATTTTTTATGTTGCGAAAATTTTAATAAATTGAATAAATACAAGTATTGCAAATATAAAGATACTTCAATTGCAGAAACTCGAGCAATAAATACACACGTAAAAAATAAATACTCAACAAATACATATGTGTGAATTTTTGATGTTTATGTATCGTACATGGTTTCCCAACTACGTGACCCCTTAGAGCGATCCCTTGACGTTGAACGTTCTTGTGTCGCTTGTTGGCCCATTTCATTCTGTAAACGATATTTTTAGTATTGATTTATTTAAAATTCATACCTTCCTATACACTACTCTTCTTATTGTCAGTTGGAATGGTTCGCTGAATACCTAACCGCTTGTTACTATCCGAACTAGACGAGGATTTCGGCTCTGCTCCGCCGCCAAGTCTACCTTTAGGCGGGGATGCTTTGGCTTTCGAAGAGGTCGGTTTAGATTTTGTCGGGGATGGTGATGCAACTTTTTTCTTCTTCTCGTCTATTGTGACCACTTTCTGTTTGCCTTTTTTCGCTTTCTGGCGTACTTTATTTTCGGGCTCGGATGAGGAATAGTAATCGAGTGATGTGGTTTCAATAATGGGGGCACTTTCCGATTCCTTGGTGGCACGCTTAGAGCAGGGAATGCATTTGGCAGCGGGTTGGCAGGCCAGTGACGACGTGGAAGTGGACGTCCGACGGTCTGGAAAGTTGAAATTATTAAATTAGAGCGGTTTTATTTTACTTTCTACGTTTGTGAGAACTACGTGGTTGTGTTGCAATGACCGATTTCGTATCAGGCTTAATAACAATCTCCTCATCGGCTGGTCTCTTTCTGCAGAGTAAGTAGTTACACCATGCAGGAAATCTGCGCTTTTTCTTCGGTGGCTTTGATTTTGGCTCGGTCTTTGGCCTTCGCCTACGATATCTCATTAGCATAGCGACAAGCAGAATGATCAGCAATATGAGCAGTATCAATCCGATAATGCAACATAGGTATTTTAGATAGTGCTTTTGTTGTTCCGATGATAATTTCAATAAGGACCCAGCTCCACCATGTTTTCCACCCTTCGTTTTACACTTTGGCTTTGTTGCTTTGGTATGCTGGACTTGTGGGTTTTGTTGAGTTTTAGGCTTTTCGCATATCTTTCTGCTCTGCAGTTGTCTATTAAGGTTATTATTATTGTTGTCATCGGCACTTTTCTCAAACCAACGTTTACCATTAATCATCGTTTGCCTGGCTTTCTCTTGCATCTTGTACTCTAAGGCTTTCTGTGCGAGTTCTATGTCGGAAAATCCATCATCGCTTTTACTCTCACCACTGCTAATGGTGTTACCTTGACGCATATTGTCTTCGATTCGGCGATCGATGGCTTTGTCTTTTTCAAAATCCAGTGCTTTCCTGCCTTTTCTCAATTTCTCAACAATCCGTAACACTCCTCCAAGACCGGGATAAAATTCTTCGTCGGAGAGGTGTGGTTTTATGTTATCATTTAACCAAGCTATGAACTTGTAATTGAAAGCATCCTGTGGCATTGACTGTGATTGGTAGCAACGCGTCACCGTTTCATAGAATCGAATAATTGCGTAAGCAGATTTTTGCGATCTAAGGTCATAGTTTCGCCTTTTCCGAAATGGTAGCCAAATGTTACTTAAACCGGTTTCAACACAATCTGCTTCTAATTTTGGCATGGACACCAGCATAATATTTTCGTCACCGTCATTTGTTGGTAACATTTCGAGGCGTGCGCAACCGGTCGGACCGCTACCACCACCATTGCCGTCGCCACTGCACTCTGAGCCCCTTAGAGGATCCACACGAACGTTATCCAGTTCTTCGAGTAAAATAGGCATTTTCCAGCCATTACCATTCGTGTTTAAAAAGGACTTGCATTGTTGATACAGCTCTGCAACACTGCTGACCACTTTGAGACTCGCTTTGCCGCCATAATAAGAATACTTGGCTACTGGTAGTAAGTAGGATCTCAAGTAACCACCGAGCATATCGTAATAGGCCCTCTCCATCACCTTCCTCGATGAATCGGGCAATCTTTGTATCAGTTCATTGCCATTATAAAAGTAATTCAACAACATGTTTAACATTTCATCATTGAGCAAACATTTTGGCAGATCTTTAGGTACAAGATACTAAAAGGAAAAAGAAATTCGGATATATTTAAAAAATAGACTTACATACGTACAATTCATACACTATACTTGCCTCGAAATCTCTACGTGCTGATAGTAAATTTAAGTCTTCTGGCGAAAAACATTTCTTTCGCGTGCTATCAAAAAGGTTTGAACCAACGAAGTCATCCAATTCCATATCAGCCTGTTCCTCATCTTCGACTTTGCGTGAAAATTTAAACTTTCTTGCTGGCTTTTCGTCCACGTCAGAAATAAGCGGAGCCAATTTGCATGTATTATCGTCATTGACTTGATCTTGATCCTTAAGCACATGAAAGTTCATTATTCCCTGGTTGAATTCGGAGTTGAGATCGGCAGCAAGCTTAAGACCATTGGCGAACTGACTTGGCTGCTCGACTGTTTTCAAATCAAAATCATAAACGGGACAACCGCCAGGGCAAAGCAACATTAGCAGCACTAAAGATATACCGATTTTCATTTTTTATATCAAATATTTTTTTATTATTATTTTCCATGTACTTTCATGCTGATGAAGATTGCTACAAAATCAAAGACAACACGATCAATCAAATGGTGTACATATTTTAAGTTTTCAAGCTTCTTTAAGTTTGTCTTTAATTATACATACTTTTCGATTTTGAATGTTTTGAGTTGCAAAATTATTGTATGTATGTGGGTGTGTTCGAGCTTCGTAATAATTACGGCAATGTTACAACCTTGCTGCTTTCTTAATGCTCTGTGCTGATGTTCAGCTAGAAACGTACTGAAATAATGCAGAGATTGCGCGATAAACATTTTTATACCTTTCATGACCAAGAAATGGTATTATAACTTTGGCCCGATGTTTGTGAGTACCAGAAGAAGAAAAGATAACCCCATTAAAATGGATACCAAAATGATCAGAACGTCGCGCTGAGTCGATTTAGCCATGTCCGTATGTCTGCGTGTCTGTCTGTCTGTTTGAACGCAATCCAGTTTCGCAGTTTTCGCGATATCATTTGTCGGAACCGTCAAAATCGGACCACTATAACATATACATAGCTGCTTGTTCAGATATGAGATTTTTCGTTATGACTACTTTATTCCCGCAGCTACATAGGAACATGAAATTTTGCACTATTTTCATTTATTGCCAACAGAATGTCTACAGTGAAAATGGCAGAGATCGGGTCCCTAGGACCTATAGCCTCCATACAATTCCAGTTGGACGGCAAAAACCGAGCTATTTCGGGAGCTATTTTCTAATTAATCATACAAAGTCGAATAAGAAAATCTTCAAGATCGGTGCNTATACACACATACATATGTATGTATGTACTTTAGACTGATTAAAAAAAAAAGGCTTTTTTTCAAATTCCCTTATGAAATATTTTCAGCACAATGAAAAAGAAGCCTGTCAAAGCTCCTTAATATTAAGATTTGGAGTTGAATCATTGCAAATTTCTATTTTCCATATATGTATGTACAAACTTTTATAATTTACACATTTTAAGTCTACGTATCAGAATGAGCGATGAAGGCCGTAAAAAAAGCCTTTGATTAAAAGATCAATTAAAATTCCTGGATCGGGATGCCGAATTTCCACTATGCATTGAAATGATAAAAAATGATGAATACCATTTAAAAAATGCCATGTGGAAATGAACTGTATGACTATTTTTTTAATGTAATGACACGATTATTTTTGAACGCCCAACTTTGTCATTTTTGCCATTTAATGCCCAGCATAACGCTCAATAAAGTGTGTATCACAATTATACGACACTCATATATTGACAAGTTTTGATTTTATCATTTAATTTTAATTATTTGTTTATAAAATATATAATAATATAAAAAAAAAATCAACAAACTTTCGTAAAAATTTCGAGCTTTCCCTTGCCTTTTGGCAATTTTTTTCGTGACGGTATCAGTAATTTTTTTCCATACGATGAAAAACTACTTAAAAAAATTAAACTTGATAGTTTAACTTAAATGATGTTAAATTTTTCTTAGAACTTTTCCAGTGATAAGCTTCAACAATTTTCTGATGATAAAAAAATCGTATTTATTTCTATGTTGGACTTTAACCTTGAATTGAACTTTTGGAGGAGTGAATTTATGTAATAATCGAAAGTCTTTTTTTCAGCATTCAATTTCATTCAAAAATATGACTTAAAAACGATTGTTTTCTTGTATTATTTATTTTGTAAAGCCAGGTAAACCTTAGTAAACCGTTCTCAAGAAAAAGGAAAACTTAATATAAAATAACGTTCAAGAAACGGAAAATAAATTTTCTTCTAGCAAAATACTTTTTCAAGTAACAGAACTAATAAAAAATATTTCTTCAGATTTTTCTTGAGAGAGGTATACTAAGCTTAACCGAAAAACACAATGAGTGGCCTCTAAATCTTAATATTACGGGCTGCGCTTTAGACAGGCGTCGTTTTTCACTGTGCCGAAAATATTTTAAAAGGGATTTTAGAAACAAAAAAAATTATATTTTTTTGAACCAGTCCAATGTACATCCATATGTATGTATGTAGTTGTATAGAAGTTTAGTATTTAGACGAAGTATATAAATAACAAATTTTTGCCTATATATTTGAAATGAAGTTAATCTAAGTGAAATGTAAACGAATGTCGGCTTAGGTTATTTATGTATAGAGGTTTATCCGTAGAATTATGTATGTATGTGGAGGGTCCCCCAAGAAAATCCACCACCTCTGAACAGCTGCGTTTCTAGTCAATTTAAAACCAACTTTATATACATATAGTTGGCTATTCTCATATTTGTTTATACTGGTTTACAGCAAAAATGGTCTCTGAATGGCCCTTTCCAATTCCTTTGTAGAAGCGCCCGTAGAGAAATGAACTAATCATTTGATGAAAAAAATTCCAAACGAATTACTTGTCAATTTTCCTATTTTGGATGAAAGCCTGTTCCTTTACACAACATCGATGAATAAGTCAAAAAGGAATGAGTGATCAATTGAAAATGTGCACATGGCGGAATTATACCACGTGAAGTAATTAGATCGAGAAGAAAGATTTTGACACTGCCCTATTTGAAAAATTGCCTTTAAGATTTGATTATATGACAGCCGAATGTAAGAAAATAAAGCGAAAAAGCTGTTTTATTACTTCAACTGTTTATTGCGGCATGATTGATGCGCCAAGATTTTTTGTATGAAGAATGAGCAGGAAAGAATGTTACTCATACGCCATTAACACATATACAAAGTTTGAGTTTTTTTTTTAATTTTTTCACCAAGAAACAAAAAAATTTGAATGATGTACATATATACAGTTTATTTTAGCAACTTTCATTTACCACATCTCGTATTAAGGTTGTTCAATTGGTTCGTAAGATCTACATACGTCATAAAGTGGAATCTCTTTTTTTTAGATGAATAACGGTAAATTGCAAATATCTCAAAAACTTATTCATAGAAAAAAATTAATAAACTTGATTTTCGAAATTAGCGGGCGATTCTACATAAGAATTGGATAGGGGCATCCGTGGAGCAAAAAAAAAAATCATCAAATATTTGCGATGCAGTGTTATCGGAGCTAGTATTATCTCTTTTTATAAGTATATCCTAGGTTATATTATTCCGATGTCAGCAAAATCAGCCAGTAGGGTAGTTCGTGGGCGTGAAATTTATGTGCTCAGAAGTTCGATTTTTAACCGAATAAAAATCTTACGTAAAATTTTGTTTTTCCAATTCAAAAGTCACCTGAATTGAAACCAAATCATTTCCGACTTAGTAAAAAAGGCTGTCCTACGAAGAAGAAATGGTATAATGACTCTGGTCTGACAGCACTGTACTTACTTGCTGTTTTTTTTTGTTGCTTCGGGTAACAGCATAATAAAAAAGAAGGTAGTTTCAATAAACAACTTGACGGATACTGGGATTTTGAAGGTTTATAATTCCATGTTGCTTGCAGCGTTATATTTAAAAATTAATTAGTCTAGTACATGATATACACACGTATGTATTGAAAATATGTACATACATAAAAAGAATGTAATTTTATTTCGAAATACAACGGGTAATGGCATATGCATGTACTTGCGTTTATGGCATTTCTCACCGCTACCCCAAAACTGAAAATTAATCTACATACATATATGTGTATGAATGTATGTATGTTGCTCTAACATTATTAAATGTTTTTATTTAATAAATTCACCGAACCCATCAAAACATAAATAATTGAAAGCCATTAAAGTAATACCCATCCAAAGCTCAATTTACTCATCCCAGTATTCTTCGTTTCCGAAGCGTTCCCCAAGTTGGAGGCTGCTAGCAAAATTCATTCCTTTTCTATGTTTTGACCAACACAGTTTTTCATTACCTCACATTTCGCGGCACTGCACTTTTAGAGAGTATGGTCTTGTTATGGCTAATGCTAATATCCGTGATAGAAAAATGTTGAGAACATACATACGGATATTTTAGAAGGCTTTCCTCGCCCACGCCGCGGGCTTCAAGCCATTTTTATCTCGCAAAAAGAACCGCTGGACATTTAAAAAATGTTGTACTGTCTTATTTGCAGTGGTATTTTGTATTTATGCAGCTTCAAAATGCGAAACTCATTTTTCTTTTAATTATTTAAAAAAAAACTGCATTATTTTTTGCTTTGTCGATCAAATTGTTTTAGGAATTTTTATTTTTATTTTTTATAATTTTCAATCTGGTAGATAGATTTTGATGAAAATGTGATAATCCCATCAAAAGTCAAATAGCTAAGATGGCTGCTTATGTCATTAAGTGAAACTACCTTCTTTTTTCTACCATGGGTAACAGTATCGTATAATTACGAATAAATATTTACAAATAAAGAAATAAAATTCAAAAATTATTTTGCTTAACAAAAGTTTTTATAGGCATATTATTTTTAACTAAATATAAGTATGACTGTTTGTTAAATAATCTAAAATGCTAAATCATATTTCGCTATTTTGTTTGGCACACCTATTGCAAAGTCATTGTTTATTAAAAACACCACCTAATTGTATAATACAAATTAAATAATAAATACATTAAATGATTGTAAATAATATTTACATTTTGTCTGTATTATCTAAAAAATAAATATATAACAAATAAATTATTTCAAACTAAATCTACAATGTCTGCATAATATGTTCTCTCTAATATCTTTATGCGTTAGGAATGTGATGCTTCGCTCAAGCATAAAACGGAAATGATTACAAAGTTAGAGAGTCAAAAGGAAGATATGGCCAGCACTATTACACAGCTGGAGAAAAAGTAAGCTATGTAGTTAAAATTAATAAATTTTTGCGGCGAAAGTGTGAAATTGTGAGCGTCGAGACTGTAAAATTATAAACTTATAGAGGAAAATTAGTAGATATGAATAACACCCGTTTGTGCAGAGGAGAGTTGACTAAGATTCGTTACCGTAAATTGTTGCCTTCTCAGTGCCCCCTACGCACAAATACTAAGGAGAGGGCAATGAAAAGGCAAAATTTTTTGTAGAAAAGAAAACGCAATTAATTGCCGAATGTAGGTAAACTCTCCTCTGTAAAAAGCGCCTAAGAATAAAATTCAAAGTTCAGGAGAGATCGCATATGTATGCATTAACTAATTAGCACCCAAATTTGTGAAAGCCAATCGGAGTAGTATCCGAAAATATTCCGATCCACGCGTTTTATCAAACCTGTTTGCTGCTTTGTGGGAAACCGTTGGTAAATGGTTGAATTTAGGATTCAATTAATACCATAAATGTATACGAGGGTCACTAAAAAGTTCCTAAGTACCTAAGAAAAAAATTGTATCGGTAAATATGGTATTATTGGTTTTCAAGATATTCTGCAGCTTGATTTATACTGTTTTGCTTACGCTCAAACCAATCGGTGAAACATTTTTGCGCAGTCAATACCTCAAAAACATAGATTTTGAACGCGTTAACCATTTCTCCTGGGGAAGAAAACCGCGATCTACTATCCTTGATGTACGGGAAGAATAAAAAAATTGTAGTTTTTCGTTGTTTTCCTCCATTCGTCCAAAGCTGTTGCTAAAGGAAATGGTTGTGTACCACTCAGAATCAACTGTTCCATGCTTCTCAAGTGCCAACTTAGCCACATGACCCGTTATTGGGAAGAATCAAGCGACCATTTGTTCGAAGTGCTTCTTGTTCGAACAACTTTTGTTGGTTTTTTATAATTGAGAAGCGAAATTCGACCATGTTTGCATGCATTTTACCAAGGCGCTTTACATATATTTTATTTTTGCTCTTACTGATTTGATAGCGTTACCCAAAAATGGAAATAAA